GAAGAGAGCTCATTTCTACTCCAAAGCAACAAGAGAACTCTATGTTGAAATTCCATCAGAAGGCAAGAGACCTGAAGATGGAGATGTGGTAGGAAGATTGGTCAGAAGCCTATACGGCACCAGAGACGCGCCCATGAATTGGGAGCTGACCATTGCAGAGTTTATGAAGAAGCTAGGATTTGTTCAAGGCAAGTCCAACCCATGCATCTACTACCATGCATCCAGAGAACTTCGAACAGAAGTGCGTGGAGACGATTTCACGACAGTTGGAAGTTTTGATGACATCAAATGGTTTCACACTTCAGCAGCCAAAGAATGGCAAGTTGTGGAACGAGGCATTCTCGGTCCACCAGGTTCACCAAAGGCAAGCCAACAGATCAGAGTGCTGAATCGCATCATCACCTGGTCAAATGAAGGCATTTGGTGGGAACCAGATCCAAGACATGCAGAGTTGATCATCAAGTGGTTAGGCACTGGTCAACCAGGCAAGGTCAAGACCCCTTTGGCCAAGCCAAGTCAAGAGGAACTCCAACACGAAGAAGTTCCGCTGAGTGCCGAAGATGCAACGATGTATAGATCTATTGCTATGAGAGCCGCGTATTTGGCACAGGATCGACCTGATCTGCAAACTGCAACGCGCTCATTGGCACAAGGTCTACAGAACCCAACATCGAGGCACTGGAATATGCTGAAACGATTGGCTCGATATGTCAGGTATCGACCAAGAGTTGCACAGTTGTTTCCAAACCAAAGCACCTGCAACCCCTTCAACATGTGGTCAGACGCCGACCATGCAGGTTGCATAAGGACACGAAAGAGTGTGTCAGGAGGCGTGCTCATGGCCAACAAATGCTGTCTCACAACGTACAGCAAAGGCCAAGGAGTTGTCTCCCTGAGCAGTGGCGAATCCGAGTACTACGGACTTGTTTCCGGAGCATGTCAAATGCTTGGAATCGCATCAACAGCAAGAGACTGGGGATTGTTTCCCAGCAAAGAGGTGACAATGGACGCTTCCGCTGGCATCGCCATGGGAAACCGTCGAGGCTTGGGACGAGCTAAACATGTTGACACTCAGTACCACTGGGTACAAGAGCGTACAGCAAAGAAAGAGTTTCGTCTCAAGAAAGAAGGCACCGACCGAATGTTGGCCGACGTGCTAACGAAAGCTGTCACCGAAGAGAAAATGACTACAGCTATGAAAGGCATGAACTTCCACTACCTGGAAGGTGAGCATGAACTGACTTTGAAAGCGTGAACGGCTTGAGCTAAAGTAGGTACTTCTACAAGACCAAGATGTACTGAAGGGCTATGGGCTAATTCACTAAAAGTGCTAATCCTGACTCGGTTAACATCTCCCAGAAGTTAAACTCGGGAGGCGTGATCAGATGTAGCACCAGTTACATGTACGTGACATAGCTTGTATAGATGTATGTTTCACTGCAGCCGTTTGTTCAAGTTGTGGTTGACTTTTGTGTTCATTTCACTACCAGAGCTACGCTTGGAGTGGAGCTAAAAGTGTGCCTAAGCTTCTATTACAACCTTTGGGACAGTGACTTGGGGTCACAGAGTTTAAGAGCCTAAATTCTCCGTTCACTAGGTTGTTATTGGTTTTCTCAAGGTTTTTTGATTTTTTGGTTTTCCTATTTCAGTCAATCTGTGTTCTTACTATTTCGTTTAACCTTCAAGTATGTGAGCCTAAGTCTCACCTAAAGGCATATGTTCCTTGCTCTTGCAATGAAAGCGTCTGAGCCCACCACTCCCTTTGTCCTTGTCGAAGTCTCCATGTACAAGTCTGTGCATTAACTTCTGATTGGTATCAATGTGGTTGCCAATTGCATGTCCAATCAGCTTGACATGAAACTGTACTGATACCTTCCAATTTACATGAAATTGTTATGAATCTGTGTAAGCTGTAGTTCCAATTCAATGCTTGTTGCATTTGCTTCGGCTTTGTAATTTCGAAGCCTCCTCGATTTGTGCATCTTGTAGCTCAAGCGTTTTACATCTTATTCTGGCGAACTTCTAATTTTAATTCCAATTCCTTTCTAGTTCAACTCTCATCTAAGTTTAAATAGGTTATAGTTATAGTTCAGTACAAGTTTACTTGAAATTCGGTTTTAATTCAGTTCTATCTTAGCTCTAACTCAAATCCAATTTAACTCTATCTAATTCTATGCTAGCTCTAGTCTATGTAGTTTAAGAAAACACATGCTACAAAACCCCGTGTTTTACAGTATTTTTTGCCCTGGGAGTGCTGGGAACAAGACTAAAGCTCATTTTTGAAGTATATAGTTAAATATTGTTTATTCAACAGTAATCACTGGAAGTAATATAGACATATTAAAACTGTTTTATGTACAAGCTTCTAACTCAAGAGCTTCCCTCTAGATCTCTGGGGATGATCATTTCTACAATAAAAATATATAAACGCTTTCATTTCAAAAGCTTTCCTTTGGATCTCTGGAAATGGTCATCATGTAAATTTAAACATGCTATATATCAATACATATGTTTTCTTTCAAGAGCTTTCATTTCATAAAAAACACACATATATGGGATATCTACTTTCCCAGAGATCCAAAGGAAAACTTTGAAAATGCAAGCCCCTACCCGCAGAAATCTAGAATAAAGCTTTTAACATACACGGTTTCTATATAGTTGTTTAAATCTAAAAATGATTATCTGCAGAGATCTATAGAGAATCTTTTGTAACATAAAAGCGTCTATATAAAATCTTTCCAAATCTAAACATAATTATAAGCAGAGATCTAGAGACACTTTTGTGGCCTGCTTCTTTCCCAATTATTTTGTTCAAAACCATCCGAATGACTGCTTGCTGCTTCCAAAACAATAAAATGAAAATGACCCTGATTCAGGAATAAATAATATATTTGTTCATATAGAGAGAGCAGGAATAGATTATATATATATGTGTTTATATGGAGAGGGGCTACCACTGAAGCATTTACCTAAAATGTCGGGAACACAAAAACCTAGGCCCCATGTTAGAGTAGAGTGGTATCTTCTGCCCTAGAGTGAACACAAGCATCTTTGCATATCTTGAGCATCAAATGATACCAAACACTTAAAAAGAAAGAAACAATAAACCAACTGCACTCTCACAGTCCCCCGCTCTCTTTTATTTTGAGATGCAAACGACTTGAGGCGCTGGAAAGCTGCCCGAACTAGGAATCCAGCTGGGTGGTCATGAAAGAATTGGATACGTACTGACTAAGGTATGAGATTATGATATTGCTCAAATGTGTTTCTGGTAACAAAATGAGGCCGGTAAGTCAATTGCCCTGACATGAAAAGGCATGTCAGATAATTCTGTTTGGTCGATCGGCTACACGATTGTATACCACAACCGCTTTTTGGGGGATGTGGACTTTGAGACTTTGAAATGGCGCCATAGACTTTGAAATGGTGCCATAGACAAGTCCGCATAGTAGCACAGGTCCTTGGTGTCGCAGCGCGGGGTTTCAAGCCTAGCAAACGACACCATCTATTTCCACACCAAAAAGGGGCGCGCCGCAGCCAGCCAAAATGCCTAACGTTGCCTGGCACGTTGCCTGGCTCGGGAGCCCATAAAACTAGTTGCCTGACTCCCAAGGCTCCCGGCAATCTGCTCCGCCACGCTTTTCCACCATGGTGATGGCCACCAGACGGCAGCATGACCACCCCCAGACAAGGCAGCATGGCCACTCCCAGACAAGGCCGTAGGAGCTAGCAGCAGCACGGCTAGGGCGGGTGCAGCGTGCTGCTCTGTAGACTGCCACAAAGCGGGCTGGCGTTGGCCAGTGCAAGTCCGCATAGTAGCACAGGTCCTTGGTGTCGCAGTGCGGGGTTTCTAGCCTAGCAAACGACACTATCTATTTCCACACCAAAAAAGAGGCGCGTCGCAGCCAGCCAAAATGCCTAACGCTGCCTGGCACGTTGCCTGGCACGTCGCCTTCGGGAGCCCATACAACTAGTTGCCTGACCCCCTCCCGGCAATCTGCTCCGCCACGCTTTTCCACCATTTCAAACATGGTGATGGCCACCAGACGGCAGCATGGCCACTGGCAGCATGGCCACTCCCAGACAGGGCCGTAGGAGCTATAGTAGCAGCAGCACGGCTAGGGCGGGTGCAGACGTGCCGCAGCCCACGAAATGGCCACAGAGCCGCCTGCTGCCCTGGCGCTGGCCAGTGCAAGTCCGCATAGTAGCACAGGTCCTTGGCCATGGCTTCTCGCTGCGCTTTCCCGGGCGCCGCCCCGCCTAGGCATCGGCTAGGCCAGGGTCGGCGGATTACTATACAATTGTTTCCCCATAAGCAAACAAAAAGTGTGTTTTGTTTTTAGGAAACAAGCAGCTCACGCAGTGCCCTGCGCCGTCATGCCGACTGTGTCTAGAGTCTAGCATTTGTCCGGGCTCGCATCCATTTTTGTTGGCAAGTCCGAAATTCCGTGCCCACGACAGTCAATTGTAAAGCACCGTGGAGACTTATGGACTTTGTGCAGCCAATCTCCCACGCCGTTTTCCCATGATGTCTGGTGACGACTACAGAACATTTCTGCATGTTCGAAAATCACAGGGTACTTATCAAGTCCAATGGGAAGTACGAGCGTAACACGTAAAACGAGGAAGTGCACTTGTGCTTGCTACGCTTAGCATGTTCCTGTTTGACTATATAATTTGCTTTAATCCGGCTGCTGCTTTGGCTGTTTGTGTGTTTGGGTTCCTGCTGCTGAAAGGCTGCGCAACCATTGCATTTGTGAATTATCAACCTGTCATCCCTTTGTGGGATTCATGCTCTGCAAGGGCCCATGTCAGCACAAATTGGCACCCTGACGGGAGCACTTCTGCGTTTAAATCTTGCATTTGCTAGATGCAGCTCTGAAATCAAATATACATACAGTCAGAGAGCGGCAAGCAAAACAGATGGAAACATTGGGTTTGTCAACTTCTTGATAGTTTTTCATTTTCTTTCAGTGGTGTTTTTTCTTTTGTTGTTTGAGGACCCTGGGAAAGTGCAGGTAGTGTGCAAAGCAGCGTGGCCAGGGGCTGAGTCGCAAATCAAAGCATGAACAGCTGCTTGGACAACTTGGGCTGTGGGGTCCTGTTTAGAGATAGAGATCCGGCACAATAGAACAACACATGTGTGTATCACTGTGCAGCGTTTGTCAGGTTCCAGCACCTTTGAGACGGTTGGCCGAATGCGTTGCTGCAGCGTCAGGTGAGAGGAATGTAGCACTGTCACGGACCGTCCGGTCTTCTGATGTCTTTTGGATACTATTCATTTTTTCAATGCACACTGCTCTGATGCACAGAGCAGGTCACAAGGGTGAGTTGGAGGTAGCAGGGATGTCAACAGCTCAGAGTTCTGGCACTCCTGGTCCTGGATGCCTGTGCCTATGCACACGTTATCCAATGACAAGCAGCTTGCACTTTGTATCAATCAGTAGGTTCTCCGAGCCTCAAGCAAACAGAGTAAGCAGCCTTGAGTGAGGCCTCTGGAAGATTTTTGGAGAAAGCTTTTGACCCTTGAAACCAAAGGTGGGGACATGTCATTCAGCAAATTTACGACGCAAATTCAGGACCATGAAAGCTGTTGATTAACGCAGAATATGTTATGCAGCTGGGTCTGCCGGATAGTACTGAGAAATAACACGTGACCGCCCCAGTCTGATCATGTGCCGGGACCACTCCCTAGGAGAGAACAACAAGAAGTGAACTGCTATTGGGATACCTTGCTGCTTTGATTGCTTGAACTGCT